GGGAGCTGCAGCAGCCCGGGGAGCCATGGCAGGAGGGAGCAGGGAGCTGTGAGTATCTGTGTAGCCAGTAGAAATTCTATTAGTTACGTGGTTAATAATTTGTTTGCGTTTTAACATCTCTACTTGTAGCAGTAGTTTTTCCATTACACTCTACACCAGGGCTACTCAACACCTGGCCCATGGGCCACATGTGGAGCTCAACACGCAGCCCGCTGGTGGTAGCCAAAACAAAAAATAGTCAATATAAAGTTCTTCTGCTGCTATGCATTTTAGTAATTAAATTCCTGGACTGTCATTGCTCATTAAAAGTGCTGTCATGTGGGTGGAAATCGGGTAAATATTGCATTTTATTAATATCAGCAGAACTGACCTAAATGGGGCCTGCATGTTGTGTTGTCTTGCCTTAATCTTTGTATTCATGCCTGTCAGCATGAAAGAAATATTTTGCATGCACATGCAAGCACACTTAAATTCTCAGTCAGAATCATTTAAACTAACTGATATATAAAGATGTAAGTTAGAGCAGGAGAGCTCCATGCGCAATTGGAGGTGAGTATCTCTGAAAAATCTTAGACATGGTCTTCAGACTCTCACACATCTATGGACCACAGGTTGAAAACCGCTGTTCTATGGCAACAACAACCTTTTGCAGACCCTTTTTGACGCAGTCCATGGACCCCAGTTTGTAAACCATTGAGTTAAGAGTATAGAAGAACCTTAAGACTTACAAACACATCTGGAATGGAGATTGTTCAAAACTCTGAATAAGGCATTATACGTATTCTTTCAAAAGCTTACAACTGAACTAACATAGCTTTGAAGCTTTACTATGCAGAACAAAAATGCTGCTCCCCTCCTTTTTAGTAGTTTAACTGAGTACAGTACTATATTTGCTTTTTGTGTGCTTATGCTGCTGCCACATTGCATACTTCTGGTAGGCCCACACTTACTAGCTTTATTTTAGCTAGCACAAAGAACAATAGCAATGAAGATGTGGCAGCACAGATGTCAGTGCAGACTAGCTGCCTGAGTACCCACTCAAGTAGACAAGTATCCGGGTGCTAGTGAAAAGCTGTTAATACTTCAGAAAAGACCTTACTGGAAAATGAGGACAGTACCAAAATATTAATTTGAGAAGTACCACTACTTGTAACTGTATGGTATTGAATGTATTATCTTTTCCAAATTGTTTTCTTTAGGAAGCTCTGGAAGATCGCTTGGAAAGGATTAATAGAGACTTGGGCTCAATCCGTATGACACTGAAAAGATTTCATGTTTTACGTACCTCTGCAAATCTTTGAGACCTGTATCCATTAAATTCAGATATGCTTTTGTTTGCACTAATGTATAATTATGCACACACAAATGCAAATTGTTTCGTATTTTTGTAAACCCTCAATAGCAGTTTTACAACCATTATCCTTTACACACAGCAATATTTTGTACTTCAAATAGGCACATATATTTAAGCATATTTTCTTACACTTGAGAAATCAATCTGTTGTGTATTTTACTATTTTTAAAAAAGTGAATTATTTTTAAATAGTGTATAAGAATTCTGTTTATAAGGAAGTAAACTGAGGCAGCTTGTTTTCTGAACAGAATCATGTTGTAATTCCTTTGCTGTTCATTTTGCTCACCATTTTATAGAGATTAGTATCTACATTGTAAATAATAGGTACTGTGACATTTTGAACTTTTATATTGTGCAGAAAGCAACACGAAGCTTCTGTGGTGTTCATAACTACAAGCTTATGGTAAATATCTTTTATGGTAAATACCTTTTATTTAAAATATCATGGCTTGCTTTTTAATTTGTTGTTGTGACACATCTTAAATAAATGCATATCTGCAATGTGGAATTCTTTTAAGTATCCATCTGTATAAATGCAAGTAACTATACAAACTGAATTTTTTTCAAAATTATATTTCTTGTGTGATGGAGTTAAGGTATGACAGAGCCACATGAGTTAATTTTTTTCTTTATCATTGACACTAATTTATTTAGAATCCTGGTCAAACTATTCAGGGCTAAATTTTGTTTCATGCCATCTGGTCTTGTCCTCAGATATCTCAATGTTGTTAAATAAGACTGCTTTCCCAAGAGGCTTAGAGAACGAAAAGTATAGGAAGCTCTTCAAGTGTCTAGAGGTTGCACAAACAGTAAAACCTTTATCGCAGCTTATGAGGAACATCTTCCCATTATGAACCTAAATTAATGTTGAAAAGGAGTTTTCAAGTTACAGGAGGGTTGAGTGTTGAACACAGTCTGCATATAGTGTGAAGATACAGAGCACTGCAGAACTATGTGCATGGCAGCATCAGTAGAGGGCCTTTTATGTATAGATATCCTTTTCATGCCCCTCACAGTCTGAAATAAAGGCCTCACTCAGGTGGGGAACCCTTTTTGGGCTGGGGGCCATTGACACACTGAAAAATCAGTCAAGGGCTGCACAAAAGTCAGAAGCAAAAACAAAACAAAAACCCTTCACTGATGTGGCCCCCAGCTGAGAAGCAGAAAATCCGACTTCCCACAGTACCCTTGCACACCAGAGCTGGGGGAGGAGGGATAGCTAATACGTTTTGTGAGCCTGCCTAGGACCGGGGTGGGGCCAAAATGACGGGTTCAGCGTATGGGAGAGGGCTGCTGGGAAATAGGCGTGGGGTTTGGGTCAGAAGGGAGGGTGCAGAAGAGGAGGGAGGTACAGGATTGGGCTGGGGCGAGAGGGCTGAGTGGGAGGTAGTGTGCAGGAGTGTGGTGGGAGGTATGGGGTCTGGATGATGGAGGGGTATGCTTGCCTAGCAGGAGGACATGGGGCTGGAACACCTGAATCCAGGCTGTAGGTTCCCTCTCCCCACCCCGCTCTAGATACTTGAAGAGTGCCTTATATTTCTTCCCTCCTAGCCTTTTGGGAGAGGAGTTGCTGTTCTCTGTTTCCTCTATTTGTAATCATTATGAGTAATTAAAAGTAACAATCAGTGTAATCACTCAAATATCTCACAGCTATTTTCCCTTGAGGAAACATTTTGCTGTAGTAATTGTGTACTTAATGTTTCTACTTTGTCTTGATAAAATTCACACACACAAAATGAAGGGACGTATAATGACTATAATACTTGACATAGAAATGTATTCTGTACTATGCTTCAGGAAGTACAGTGTATTTGAGCGAAAGAGTTGAGTTCTGTTTTACTTTGGCTTTTAGGTGTTTCTGTATAATTTATCATTCTAGTTTCAGATTTTGCTTCAGTACTTTTGTAACCAGTGATTTCTTTATATAGTTTTAGCAATTAGAAGCAATACTGCATTATGTCTGGGTGACTGTATATTATTATATTCTTTTTTAGCTTGCTTACTCTTGGCCTGTGTTACCAGATCATTTCTAGCATTGTTGCTATGTCTCAACAACTCTACTGTATAAAGTTCAGACACAATGGATTACACTGAGTGCTAACCAAGTTTCTCTCCATGACACTCCAGGACCATGGAAATCTAACCACAATTGTTTTTGTTTTTTAAATATACCCAGAACATAAGAATGGCCATCCTGGGTCAGACCAAAGGTCCATCTAGCCTATTAGCCTGTCTGCTGTCAGTGGCAAGCACCAGGTGCCCCAGAGGGGGTGGACCGAAGACAATGATCAAGCGATTTGTCTCGTGCCATCCTTCTCCAGCCTCTGACAAACAGAGGCCAGGGACTCCACTTCTACCCCCTGGCTAATAGCCTTTTATGGACCTGACCTCCATGAAATTATCTAGCTTCTCTTTAAACTCTGTTACTAATCATCAGGCTGTCTCTGTTCTAATAAAAGTTATGTTCACACATTTAAAAAATAAAATTTGCCTTTTACACTTACAACAAAATCTGTATGTATTTGTTACGTGGGACATTACTGAATTACAAAGATGCATTCCTAATTTTTGAATTTTTAAATTAAATATTTAGTAACATCTGCTTCTGATGCCCAAGAGTTATATTAGGTTTAGGAATATTACATCATTGATAATATAGGTATTACCCATATCATTTATTTCAAATTCTGTCATGGTTCAAGCTATCAACAATATGATTACTTTGCAGCAGAAAGAGCAGGGTCATTGACATGAAGAAAGTCTGTGCAAGTTTGAGTCTAACATTAGAGAGCTAGGTTTTAAAGCATTTACTGAAAAAACTTCCCTATGTGCTCCTGTAAACAGATATTCCAAAAGCAGGGGAGAGAGAGAAAGAAAGAAAGCATGTGTGCTGTAATCTCAATTTTGGCAGTGGAAGGGTAGGATGGGACCAGAAAATGTCTGTGAGGGGGAGCTTAGGAGGTAGAATACACTTGCTGTGATCTAAGGGTACCTCTAGACTACATGCCTCTGGCGACAGAGGCATGTAGATTAGGCTACCCAGCATAGGAAGATGAAGCAGCGATTTAAATAATCACCGCTTCATTTACATTTAAATGCCTGCCACGCTGAGCTGATCAGCTGTTTGTCGGCTCAGTGTGGTAGTCTGGACGCTCTGTGGTGACATCAAAGGCATTTGTGGACCTCCCAGGTAAACCTGATCCCAGGAGGCATACCTGGGAGATCGATAAATGCCTTTGATGTCGACCACGGAGCGTCCAGACTACCACACTGAGCCGACAAACAGCTGATCGGCTCAGCATGGCAGGCATTTAAATTTAAATGAAGTGGCGATTATTTTTCTATGCCAGGTAGCCTAATCTACATGCCTCTATTGAGTTCAAAATATCTAGAGAACAAAAATCTCAATCTCCTAGCAGCTGCCATACCAATCGCCAAAAATGGTGTTGTCATGATTTTGAATGATCACAGTATGCTTGCTAATTCCTTCAAATGTATAATTCAGCCTGGAAGCCTTCTCCCAAGGAGTCCATTACTGGATAAGTTTAAAATTTGGGAAATAAGATAGAACTTCAGTCTTTATGTTGTTTTAAGTGATTTTTTTTTCTTGTTTTCAAATCTGTTCTCAGTTATCAGAAGAACTAATGTTCCTTGGATAATTAATATACCTACTGGTCACCAATTTCATCTATTCCATTTTCACTCCACTACCTTCATTTTAGACCTAAATTTACTTCCATCCTACACTCTCTGGTGCCATTCCCTTTTTATTACTGTCATTTGTTAACATCAGGAAAGAAGAATCATTAAAGTGAGTTTATATCATTTCTGTCTGAAAGTAACCTTCCATTAGCTCAGGCTTTCTGAGCTACTTCTGTTTGTGTTCTCATGCTGCGGAGAAAAACTCCTCCTACCTGTTTGGCCAGCATTTTCAAAAATTTTCACTGATTTTGGGTGCCTTGCTTAAGACACTTCTTGCCTGATTTTCAGAAGTGCTGAGAACTTGCATCTCCAAATTGTCAGTGAGAAATCTAGGTGCTCAACTCCTCTGAAAATGAGGCCCAGAGTATCTTAAGATGGATACTGAGTAATAGGCAGGCCCAAATTCAGTGGCTGCTTTTGAAACTGTCTATTATTGCATCTGACATTTCTGAATGGTGTCTTTTTAAATGAGATTTTTAAATGTACAATTTTAATATGGCTTTCCTTTAACACAGATTTAAATCCTTCTGTGCTGATGATAAAATTATACAAGAGGCTGTACCCCTGCTCGCTATGCTCTGCAACCCCCATCTGTCTGCTACAGCTAAATCTTGGCCTCCCTTCCTAACCATGCTGCAGTAGATAGGGGGGCTGCCACCAGCCCTTCCTGTGGTCAGATGGGGGCTAGACCATGGTACCTGCCCTAGAATCAGGCCGGAGTCAGGACACTGGCCAGATGGGGGCTGGGCCCCAATTGGGCAGGGTGTCTGGCTGGGAGGAGGGGTTAGGCTGGTGGGGGCAGGAGGTTTGGCTAGAGAGAGGGGACAGGAGCAGGCTGGAGGCAAGGGGGTTGGCTGGGGGAGAAGGGAGCAGGAGTGGGCTGGAGGGAGGGGGTTTGGCCAGAGAGGTGGG